TGCTCAGCAGAAAAAGATTCTTCGTGTAGCCGAAGAAGGAAAAACTGTGCATACATCTGCTGCAGAGGATGAGAGGAAGAACATGTCTGTGAAGGCTTCTCCAACTGTTGGACAGTCCATTGCCTTCTCTAGAACTGATTTAGCCGAGTCCACAATTCCGGCTGGGGCTGCTCTTGTTGACAGCTCTGCAAGAACTCTTAGAACTTCAGGTTCCGTTATGCCCTCTACAATGAGCACTGTAAATATGTGTGGTTCTCAGCATCCACTGCAGCGAAGTCGTCAGCAGCAGCAGCAGCAGCAGCAGCAGCAACAACAACAGATGATTCAGCTTCAAAAGCAACAGCAATATGCAGCTGCAGTGACAAGGACTAAAACATCGGCGACAAGTAATGGCAATGTCTATGCTGAGCACCCTCCTACATCCATGGCTGCCAAGTTTCCTAATGCATTGTCTTCTTTTTCTCAAAATCTTGTCCCAAGTAACAGCAACAGTCCTGCTCAATCTCCTCAGTGGAAGAATTCTGTAAGAACCACCACCTCTTCTCAAGTTCCAACCCCCTCTCTGTCTTCGTCAAATACATCATCCATCAAAAATCTTCCCCAACAGCAGGGCCGTCCGCAGCAAAACCACTCTCAGATCTCTTTTGCAGCTAACCAAAAATCTACCACACAATCACAAGGGCAGCAACCTGCTAGCAGTAATCAGTCACCATCTCCGGGAATGATCGGTTCACCAACTAATTCTTCGATGTCAAAGGGTGCCGGTGGAAGCCCGCGGACAGCTACTTCCAGTTCCATGGGCCATAAAGTTGGTCAATCTTCTTCTTTATCATCACAGCAGACAAAGAATCCTACATCTATGCCCCCCCAGAAGTCGTCTCCTGTTGGTGGGAGAAATGTTACGTCAATTCTTGGCAATAACCAAGTGGCCTCTTCAAATTCTGGAACTAAATTATCCCAACATCCACAGTCACAACAGCAACAGCAACAGCAACATTTGGCGAAGCAAACATTGCAGCAAGCTCAGCTGCTCTTCCCTTACATGCAGGCTCAATTTCCCCATTCAAGTAGCACTGCCACTGCTTCGCCTTCACATTCAAGACGTCGTCCAGAGCAGCAAGCACAGGGCTCGGGAGGAACATCCTCCAATGGAATGCTATCTCTTGTCCACCCTGTTACAATCGGAGGCACCACCACTACTGATCCTGCCAAGGCTGTTGCTGCTGCAGCAGCAGCTGCAGCTAATGCAGCTAATATGAAAGCTGTTGGTGGCTTACCTACACAAGCTATTCTCCATCCTGCTCAGTTTGCTACTACACAGTCCTCTGGTAATCCTCATCAGCTTGTACCTGCAGGTTTTCCTTACGTGCATACTGCTGCAGTGCAAGTGAAATCAACAGAGCAAAAACAACCTGCGGGTGGGTAGAGAATTACGAATGGTGTCTCTTGCCCTATAAAATAACAACGGGCATCTATCTGATAGCCAGCCAGCGAGCCAGCTTGAGAAGAAATGCAAGTTCAAATAGCTAAGCAGCAGCAATCTGAATGCTCGTCGGACTTCGAACCCCACGATTTTGGGAAAGCTGTGAGAGGAAGTGGGAAAATAGTCCACCATCTGAGAATGCTTCAGGTCTAGGCTGTTCAGTTTATCTGTCCAGGTTGATGTTTTAATGGTCTGATGAACACATGGTTGGTCTGAATGGGGAGAGGAAAGGAAATACAAAGAAAAGAAGCTTGATGAAACAAAGGGGCAACACAACACAGCATTCTGTAAAGTGCTTTACAATGATGGAATGGTGGAGAGGAAAAGCGGGTGGTGGGCTGTAATGGAGGTTTTTCTTCTTAGAAATCTGATTTCATTACCTTTTTGAGGTTCATTTCTCTTTGTAAGAGCTTTTAGAACAGCATCATCTTTAACATATAATATGTGCAGTGAAGGAGGAGGAGGAGGAGGGTGTAGTTGTATATGTTTGGCACATATAAATGGGTAGCCCTCACATTTTTTGATAAAAAACTTCCTTTAATTTTCTTCCTTGGTTGTTTTCTTTTCACTGACCCTTCAATCATTCATTTTCTTGAAGTCTTTAAATCTGAATTTGTTAGAGATAAGAAGATGATGATGGGTGGAAGAGGCGGCAGAGCTGGAAAGCAGCAGAGGCTGACCTACTTTTACAAACTCTCCTCCATCTTCATCACATAACACACTGTGTAGAAAGAAAAGTTGATATGGATGTGGAGAGCGTGTGGATCGTTGATTCGGTCGTTTTATATGATGATGATAGTGGTGGAAAAGTGTGGTTTGGTAGTGGACGGAAGAAGAAGATTGTGGAAAGAAAAGGGTAATCTCTGTTTTGTTGTCAATATCTCAGTCGTGTCTCAGCCAGAGTTGAGATAGATATAACAACATTATCTTAATCTGTTTGTGTGTGGAACGGAAATCAAAAGCTTTGGATTTCCTGAGATTTTGTTTGTTGTAGTTTTTAAGCAAATTCTGCTGATTAAGTGGGTGAGGCTGAGGAAGGACAAAGGAAGGTGGATGGGGTATCAATTGGGATGTGTTTGTATTGTGTTCTTACAGTGAAGTGGGCCTTTCACAACGATCAAGGTCAAAGGTGTGGGACATACACTTTCTGACATGAGATACTCTTGCACGTGTCTCTCAACCTTATTAATTATCTATTATTATTCTCAAACGACTTTGATTGATTACTTATTACCGTTTCAAAAGTTAGTTTTTGAGTCAAGATCGATGGATTAAGAGTCAAAGTTAGAAGTTTGAATGTGTACTGAGTTTGATAGGTGTGGGATCTAGTTGAATAAGGTGAATGAGTTGAGTTACTGAAGATTTGTTGGGTTTCATAATTGCTAAAAGTTGATCGAGATCAATGTCTCAATAAGGGAAAGTTTCAGCTTGATACACCTTGATCCCGAATCATCTTATCCTTTGCTAAGTTCAGGTACTCTTGCCTTTGTCTCCTATAGCTTCGTTTGTTGCATCCTCCAAATTTGGATAGTCAGTAGTTTAAACTCTACCCTATCTTTTAAACCTACCACATCCCACTTATTCTCTATCGTACATCTCCACCCTGTAAAATACATCTTAAGTATTTGAACTGTTCTCTTGGGCTTGGCGAGATTCCTCCGAATGTGTTGACTTAGCTCTTGCTTAGTTTTTTTATTGACTATTGCTCGAAAAGACATCTACATTACACCAACAAACTGCAAGCTCCTTTGAATCTATTCAAAATATTCCTAAAATATGACCATTTTGTCTTCTACTGCATAGTTGAAATTCGTATTTTTTGACATCCAAATATACCCTTTTACCAACCACTTTCCATTTTAATATCCAATAATGCACATGATCATATATTAATTATCAAGTTGTAGATGAATAGAGTATAAATTTTTAGATAACCATTTCTATTATTAACCGTCATTGATAAATTAATAAACGTCTAGAGTATCAGTTTAATTAGAACAACGAAATTGAATTAGGACAAAGATTAGGTTTAATTGGTACAAAATTTATTCCAATCCATAATGAGAGAGAGAGAGAGAAATCGGACGGTGGAGATTGAATGACCATCCAAAATGATGGGATACCATACCACAACAAAAGTGTAGCAACCAAATCAAACAAAATAAAAATAAATAAATTTAATTTAATTTTCTTAAATAACAAAATAAATAAAAAGGTGCAAAAGAGGGTCCCACAAATGTTTTTGAAGGGGGTGGGGCCAGAGAATAAGACAAAATGATGTGGCAAAATCAAAATGAAAGACAACGACGGCGTTTTGTCAAACAAAACCAAAACTCCTTTTTCATTCACATTACTTTATATTTCATTTTTCATTACATTACAAACAAAAAGTGAAAATATCCCCTTTTTCTTTATTAACAAATACATTATAAATATTAAATCCAATGACCCAAAATCAATGGATACGTTCCCATCAGCCCCACCAGGTAGCTTTCATCCACCTAAATTTAGAGGTGATATTTTAATTATTGAACTATATTTAAGTTGACATAAATTAATAATTTTAAATTATAAGATAAGATTAGAATAAATTTTTTGAATATATAACGTCTAAAAAGGAATGTTTAGATGAGTTGGGGCATTATCTAGAACATAATAATTACTAATTATTAATTCGTTAATAATAATTGTTAGGTGATATTATGACGTAGGGGGTATTTCTGCAATTATGGGAATTTGGAAGGGTTAGTAGTATTATGTCCCACTAATTTATTAATAACAAAATTGTGGCTCCCATTGCCGTACCAACTTTCCAGGGTGCTTTTTTGTACTTACCATTTTAATTAAATTAATAAATATTGTATCTTACTATCTTAGGTAGGTTAAATTATATAAATAAAGGTTTTAAACTAGGATTAATCTATTATTATAGTTAAACATCCTAAATTTATGTTGTTAATTAAAGAAAGATAGGTATATCTATCTATTTATATATATATAATTGCCCATCACACTAAAGAGATAAAGGAAACTATCTTCCTACCGATTATTAATATCACCTAAGAAGTTCGAGTACCAACTGAAAAATCCATTGGAATGAAGTTTTTAACATATTTCCCTGATCTCTACAATTAAAGAATTGTTGAAACTTCGTTGGAAGAGGAAGAGGAATCCTACATCGACTAATTAAAGGATTGATCATGAATTTAGAAATACACCTTAACAAAAAATCCATTGGAATATAGTAGTTTTTTTGGGAAAACTAAAAACAAAGTGAAAAATATTATATTATTCAAAAACATTTTATTATTATGGAGTTTCGTGATTTCTAATAAGATGAATCATGTCCGAATAAGATGTCAACCGAGTGTTTTATCTATCAAATATCAAATACTAGATGCCCACTTCATAGGCACTACTACTAAGTTTCTTAATTGGAGATTTCTTGACTTACTGTTTTGAGAATCCAACAGCAACCATCAAATGTGCACAGGCTATTCAACCAAAGAGAGAGAAATTAGAATGAGTGATGAGCCATCATAATTCAAGTAATGAGTCATATATGTCTGAGACTAAGAAAGAATAATGGTGCATTTTTCCAATGGTTAAGAGCGGGTAAGTTAATATAATTACCCAAAGAAATGCCTTCCTAATCATGTATAGCTTGTAACTTTGCTCTTCTCCAAAATGCCTTCCTATTCTATACAGCTTTCTAACAGAAGGCGAACCGGTGGGACTTATGCTAAATCTTGGTTATAAGGATGAAAGGAGAGAGAGCATTAGGGTCGGGTTAATTCGAGCATGCTGATGCAGAAACTTTGTCGGTCATGGCGGCCAGCTCCTCGTCTTGCTGTTTCTTCAAGTACCTTTGGGCAGTTGAAGTCATAATCTTGATAGAGAAGTTCATGATCATGAGCCATACTATAGTGTTCCAGATGGAAGAAACCGAAAAGTCCCATTTCTTGGCCTGATGTTGAGAGGTGAAGGGAAAGAGGAAGAAAAGAGGCGTATAAGATGAATGTGGTAAACAACGGGTTTTGGCAGATAAGCTCTCAGGCAAACAAATTGATAGAATTTTCAGATGAATGCAATATCAGCAAGTACCTTGGCATTAGCCGCGACTTGAGAAGGTGCTTTCAGATACTTAGATTTAACTGCGTTGAGCTTGGCAACCAGCCCGGGCAAGATAGATGAAAATCCAGGCACAAAGCTGAGTATCCATAATAATTCGTTTTCTATCCAATAAAGAAGTTGATTGTTGCAAACAGCAATGATGAAAATGGTCTGCACGGAAATCATAAGCACCAAATTACCAAAAGATACACGGCTTTAACTTGAACATGTAAAAGGGATTTAGCTCCTTGCAAACAAAGTCAAATAATATTAGACAACAAAATATAAAAACTTCACAAACCTGAATGTGAGTTTTAATAATAGCTTTTCCAACCAGCGTAGCAAAAAAGAATTCCCAGAAAGGAATTCCAAATTGTCCACACATAATGCCAGCTAAGTCGAACAGAGGATTTGGAATCTGAAAGATAAGCAGTGAAGATCAGAAACAGTCGTGCTAATGATATGATTGATGCTAGTAAGTATCATAAGCGTCAAAAGACACATTATGAAGTTTAGCTTACACAAAATTTTATCCCATGAGAATATTGTAAAAAAAAAAAAAACTAGTAAGATATTTAATACCCTAGGGAGGTGGTAGCCACCAAAATGTATCTGATTTACAATGAGTCCCTATGACCACTAAGTTGTAATGAATATAACATATTTGAAGGGGGAAAATAACATGAAATTAGCGAACCAGTAAAGTTATACTCTCACCCCCAATGGAAGGCAGGAAAAAAAGGAAAATAAAATATCAGTAATTGAAGAGAATAAAGTCATAACTAACCGAAGCAAGCAGTAGAATAGTAAGGAAATTTAAATGTTGAGCATGTGAAAGGAACCATCGCTTGATTCTGTTTAAATATGTTGAAATGAGTCCATTAGTTTCCCTTGAAGAGGCATCTAGTTCTTCCATTGCTTCTGATCTGCTACCAGAGAGGCGTGCTGCACAATGGAAGAAATATATTTGAACATAAAATATGAAGCTTGGATATGAAAGAATATCAGCAATGCAAAAAATTACAATTAGCAAAGCCATAAACAACCTGGAACAAGTCATTTTCCAATTGGAAAATTTCAGATTACAGACTAGATTGTTGGTCATAATCATAGCACTAATTGCAAAGTTCCGAAGTAAAAACTTGAGCAAGCTCTTGTTTGCCATTACATTTTGCTCTATCATATTTTCACATCATCATTATGACGAGGAAGGGTTTCAAAAAGAAGTACAATATTATCCATAGCCATTCAATCTTAAGCAAAAACTACTTACACTATGACCTCAAAGCATTGCCTTGCCCAGTAGTTCCTACCTATAAATTACAAAATGTTGACTATTTACTATTTAGGATCACGAATTAAAAATGTTCTCTCTTTCAGTATTGCAAACTGTTTTTACATAGACAAGTTCCACCCACCGAAAAAAAAAATGGATAAGAGAAGATGGAATATAAAAAAATGCTCAACTGATTGTCATATCACCAAAAGAATTTAATTGACTTATAACTATTAACGAATACTAGTAAACACACTATTTCTCATACCCGCCCTTGAGATGAAGTAAGGAGGAAGCTCTCCTAAGGAAGTCCCAATACCCCAGAGAATTGCCTCTATCTGAACCATGGGCAATATGCTACTGAGGGGGACTTGTGATGTGAAAACTGGAGGTCCAAATTCTGAGCAATCCTTCTCAAGCCATGATGGACCTCTTTTCAATTGTATTGTGTCATAAACAGCACTCTTCAAGTCCACTCGCCCACACTGCACTGCCTTTATCGTGAAAAACCCAATATGAGGCCCCAGATAAAGCACAAAAGTATGCAGGCCAGACCCTGAAAGTAAATGATAGGGCGTGAAATCAAATAAGATTCAGATGCTCAATCCCATCCTATCAACACAGATTAGCACAATAAATACAATATTGGTGATAACAGCAAATTCCAATCTAAATATCAGATAAAAACATTGCGTCTTACAAAGAAGAAACAATAATTAGCACGGATCTTGAATCAAACAACATTAATTACCAAGTCCAATTGATGATGCAACTCCCAGGATCACCCACCACAATCCGTAGTCAAAGTATTTTACAATCTCCTCCACATGCTGCAAAAGCAGAGAAGATTTATTTTATAAAACGATTGCCTGAAATCTGGAAGGCAATGGCCAAATTAAAAGGAAAAGGTTAACAATTTCAAGGATAGAAATAAATTCACTTCCTGAATATAAAAGCGCAACAAGGTGATTTATGAAGAGATATATCCCCACTTCAATCAAACAACATTTACTAGGATAGTTTCCATCATTTCTCTATCCACCATCTTAACAGTTCCTCTAAATACTTCCAAATTCCAACCTCTTCTGTAATATGGCATTTCTACTGGATTGATTCAGTATATATATGGTGCATAAAATTTTTTGCAGCATTTTCTTGGGTATAATTATAACAACTCTCAAGAGCCTACATAAACAGGCAGGAATTTAAATTCACAACATTTTTTCAAAGAAAATCATTCTTAGAAACCCGTGATAAAACAATGTCATAAGGAGTGCAATCATTTGCTTAGAACTATCACATTTAGGATGGTACAGCTTAAAGTTAAAGATAGTATCCATGTAAAATATATTGCTGGATAATGGCAAACCTACAAACATTTTAATAAAATATAGAATATCCATCCAGAAAGCTACCATATCAATAGAGCATATCAAAACACCAAATATAAAAATTGAAAATCACAAACATACTTCAAAATGTGATCATGAAAAATTCTTCACAGTTCATCCTAAATGATGTAATTCTTGCAGTTGCATAAATATACGCACATAATGTTGAAAAGAGTGAATATTTGATTCAAATATGCACACATATAATGCTGAAACGAGTGATGTGAAGGTAACATAAATTCAAGAAGGCAGAGATACCTTCTCATGTGGCCCTTCAATTGTCAAAACCAGAATTCCAGCTGCCCCAATAATCAAGTTTAAAAGCAAAAGCCAACCACCTTTAGCTAAAATGTAAGCTATCGAGTGTTTACCATATTGAAGAACACCCAAAGTGAAAAACTTCAATGTTTTGAATGGTTGATTAACCATTGTCAAATTGTCAAGATCTTGTTTGTGCTTCCGACATAATTCTGCAAATTATAGAAATTTCATCAAGAGATAAGATACATTGTGAACGACCCTAAGCTAAGTTGAATAGGACAGAATAGTTGTTCTCATTAATTCCACGAAAGCCAAGTGAAAGCAACAACTAAAACGGTAAATCGTCCAGACAAAATCAAACTGAAGAAGCAAGACACAACTGAATTTCATTTCACTTTTGCGTTGGTTTGAAATTAACCAGTACACTCAATCAATCAAGGCCCCTCATTGCCGTGAAGGATCACTTCATTAACAAACTTCAGACAATCACCAAACTCAAATCTCTCTTAAAATATAAAACAGTAATAACAATAATGTAAACAATATTAAGAATCCAAATTCCCTTCAACTTTCTTACATCAATCAATGCTTCGCCGAACAAAGAAAAAAAATTAGAAGATGTCAAAATACTTGCCTGAAATGGATACTTCCGAATCATGAGCAGCAAGGGAAGCTGCTTCTTCACCAGTCCCCATTCCGCAACCTGCAATTACAAGACAGTATCGAAGGGAGAGAAATTCTTGTAATCTCAATCTAATTCTCCTGTACAGAGAAAAGGAGATCAGAGATCGACGAGAATCATGACTAAAATTAAGAGGAAAAAATGGAAAAAGAAAATCTGAAATCGAAATCGAAATCGTTCAGGAACGAAGATCCGCGCTCTCCCCTTCAAGATCGAACGCTTCTTCGTTTACCTTCAACATTCATTTTTCCCCCATTTTTTGAAACAGATAACTTCCAATTTATTACTTTATAATTATTATATAAATTTAAAAAATTTACGTATTTTAAATATCTACGGTATCCCATTAATTGATGGATTAAATTAAAATTTTATTTTGAATTTTAATTATATCCTTTTTTTTTTTAATAAATATATACAAAATTAAAATTCAATTATTTATTTGATAAAAAAAGTTAAAATTTATTTTAGACACTTCTGTGTTAGACATAGAAGTATTTAAAATTTAAATACTTTTTAAAGTTAATAAACTAAAATAATAAATTATTAAGCGAGTAAAGCTCATAAATATTGGTTACTTAGACCAATTAATTAATTAAAAGATCATATTTTTGTTTTTAATATGGTCAAAGTCAACACAATAATTAAGAAAGAAAATGGCTGTGTTTTTCCCCCCAAGAAAAATCCAAATTAAAAATTAAAGGTCTAATAATATAAGAATCCTATAAACTCCCGTACGTTCAAAATTATATAAAGAATAAGGAAAATATCTCGTTAATCCATGCAGCAATAGTGCTAGCTAGAGCCTAGAAGAAAGCAAACAAAAAATAAAGGAAGAGTTCGAGCATAGAAAGAATCGAGGACAATCGCCTCGGTTGTGCTTCATTATCGAAGAAATATGTGATAAACGATGACCAGAACTCCACCTAATCATGTAGGCACCACTCAAGTATGTTGTAACAATAGACATCGTTCCAAATGGAATTGACCAATCCAAGTACTACATAATGTCGTGTGAGCAGAGTCCAAAGCGGTCGAGACAGAGATGCTTCATCATCGACAAAACTCCTTATTCAATCATGTTGGTTGGACTTGTTGATGTTCTCTCACATAATAGTCTCTCGTTGTGTTTACCTATCGAACGTGAATAGCTAATAGCTTGGACCACGAGCATCATTTCACTATAATTGATATTCACCACACACGTTATCACAATAACTATCTCAATACAATTGCATTTATGAATAGCCCGACTTAGCTTGTACTAAGAAACTTCGTTTAACTTTAGTAGGTATCCACCCCACTTATTCGTTACTATAACAATATTTTGTAAGATTTAACCAATTTCAAGCTCTTTTTCAAATATTTTAATTAGGTTAGAAAAGAAACAAACTAGATCGAACGAAAACTGCACAAATTAAGGGCATGCAATGTGTCATAGTCATGTCTGTCAAATGTGTGTCAATCACGGCCGCATGTCCGTTGCATGCCAAAACCTTGACCCACAAGAAAAAGTGGTATTCAAACTCACCTAATATTCTTACCGTTTCCACAAGAAAAGGTGGGTATCGAACACAATTCCTATAATTTGTAAAGTTTTTATTTTTAATCGTTTTTATTTTTTTTTAAATATCAAATAAAATGCTTCACATGTCATCCACATGCTTTATCTTTACAGCATTCCCATAGTTATCTCTTTTACAGCTTTAAAACATTTAATTATATATAGTTTAAAAAAAAACATTTCATTTTTAAATTTATTAAAATATAATTATGGTCCTCATAGTTTCAGACAATTTTAAATATTTGAATTTGGATAATATTTTTTTAAAAAAAATATATAATATTGATATGCTTACTAGACAAAAGATCTATACGAGTTAAATATTTTTAGTGACTAATTTTTAAATATAATCAAAATAAATTACTAAATTTAAATATAGTCGAAATAATTGTTGACGTTTTTGCCCCTACAATTGGGGCCCACGACATGGATGGTCTGCCCATTCTTATTAATACGCAAGAACAATAATGTAATGTGATCGTAACGGACCAATCACGTGGCGCCACCACGATGCTTCCTGTTGAGATTTTTTATCTTCTTTTAATAATTTATAAGCTAATTTTCATTTTCCATCAAAAAAATTCTAAAACAAATACCAACCCACTATATAATTTTAATATATTTTAAAATTAATAGAGTGATATTTCTTATTTTAATAATATATATATATATATATTGTTACTTAGATTTAATGAATAGATGTTAATTATATATGTTTATAAATTATAATTATTAAATCTTTACATAATAAAAATGGTTACTTGAAACCGAACATTAATTATGTCTATAATGATTTTGGTTTTTAAGAGACCAAATAATCTAAAACATCGGAATTAATTATTCGTTCGCCACACCTAATAATAGAGAGGCTTCAACATTATTATTATCTAGTAATAAAGTTCCAAATTGTTTGATACCTAAATAAACATAACATAGGACATCGTCTCCTAGAATCCACAAGAAAATAATATAGATTATGCATACGAGCGAGTGTATGAAAGGGTGTCAATGGGAATACAAAACTACTTTTTAAAGAAAACCGATAACTTCTTTCAATAGTTCGAGATGACGAAGGGAGTGAAACTGTATACTGTACTAATACAAACCGTTTTATCATAATGGAAAATCATAAATTATCTCTATAAAATAAATAATCATATTGTATAATGCAATAATAATAACGTGTATAATGTCTTTAATTTGGTGACAAATAATTTGAAATAATGCTAGAATGAGAATTTTCTTTGTTGGTATTTATAAAAAAAAAATATTTTTTTTTCTTGTGTTATTGATTTACGTTGAGCGTAAATTTTAATAGTCTTTATTTTGGTTAATTATGAATAAAATAAGAATATAATTAGTAAAAATATATGTGTATACAAATATATCATTGGAAATAAATAGAAAAAAAAATCCTTTTTTATTTTTTAAAATAAATAACTCCAAAAATAATATCTCAAACTAAGGGCTTCGTTCGTACACTTATTTATACACTTAATTTCTTTTAAGGGTAAATATATATATATATATATATATATATATATATATAACTTGAAAGAGAATCAAAATATATATCACTTTCAAGTTAATAATTTTATTAATATAATATTATTTAGGACAGACGTTTATATTTTTATCTTTCAACTGAATTTTTGTATTTTTAGATTTAAATCCTCAACATTTTAAATAGTAATTACTAAGCTATATTTTTTTGTTTTTTTTTTTAATTACTAAGCTATATTTTTTTATTTTTTATGTGAAATTTTAAGAGAGGTGATAGGCTAAGAAAAAGCGATTTCTACCGAACTAAATTGGGAATGAATGGACGGAGCTTTCGTTGAATAGTTCATGGAAAAAGTTGATAAATAGTCAAAGGTTATATAATCATTGTACCAAGTAAGTGTTTTCCTATTGGTTAGAAAATAAGCAACTAGTGCACGTGTTATATCCGAGATTAGTACTATGAGTGTTCACATAACTCGATAACTCATTCAACCAATACTACCTAACCCAAACAAGGTTGAGTTGGGTTAGATTTTTTTTCAATTTTGGCTGTACTGCAACTCATGGGTTAACTAATGGAGTCAACCCAACCAATCCAAAAAAATAGGGTTACAATAACACAACCCAATTATACTTTTTAAAAGATTAAGAATATTTAACGTCTGTAACCAATTTCAGTTATGCGTTATTTCTTGTTTGGTATTTAAAATTTATGAGATTTGAGTTATTAATGTAACATGTACGTTGATAGGTACAGTTATTTAAAATAATAATAATAAAAATAATCCAACAACCTATGATAAGAAAAGGAATCACTACAAGGGGAGTAAGATTCGGATTACCTTGTTGATCGAATATCTCAAGGCAAGAATATTGTTTGAGATTCGAATCACTCCACAAGCAAGATCGATCATGTCTAGCTTGAATGATTCTTGTTGATCAAATATCTCAAGGCAAGAACACTTTCATGAGATTCGAATCACTCCACAAGCAAGATTGATCATGTCGAGGTTGAATGATTCTACATGCAACCTAAACTACATAGAATTGCAAAGAAACTTAGCCATTGGCTAAAGAAGAGCAAAAATGCTTCTTTTTACTATATTTTTCCAAGTCCGTTACACATACAACATACATGGCTCCTCAAAATGAAACTACTAAAGTCATTCCAAGAGTTGTAACATTGATACTTAATGACCATAATTAACCATTATGTAATTGTAACCTATAGTAAATAAAGTCTTAAAATACATAAATGAAATACAATAACTCTAAATTGTAACCCACCCAAAATTTATAACAATCAAACTTCATTATTCTTCAATGTGGCATGAATTGAAACATATTTTGATAATTTTGACAACCTTTTCTTCACATCTTCATTGAAGTATATTGTATGATTGATGTCTTTTGGTTCATATCAACCTAGTTCATAGAGACTCAGGTCACCAAACCAACCGGCTCGAAATTTCATGTTCGTCCAAAAGCTTTTTCAACCCAACCAGTATGCACCCTTAACGAGTACCCTTCTAAACTTTATGTCCAGTACAAATAGTAAAAACAAAGACAAAAAAATGTTAGGTAGGAACATGCGATCCACGAGGTATAATAATATTCGAATGAATTACTTTATGATGGTACTATAAACTTATTATGACATAAAAGAAAAAGTTATTCTATATGTCATTTAATATTTACCATTAATAACGGCTTTGTTCTTATCTGTAAAGGCAAGTCATCCATTTTTTAATTTAAATTATTTTGCTATTTTTTTAATTAGGGAATATATTATATATTTCATGGAAATCAGCAACCGAGATCCAAATATGGTCTTCCCCTCTCTCCAATAATTTAATATAAAATAAACTATAAAAAAATTGAAGTCAAAGATAATATGACCTGGAATTAAAAAAAAAAAACAGTATTCATTTATAAATTATTCAAATATAAAAATATTATAACTTTTCTATTTTAGTCCAATCATAAATGATGAATATCACATCATTACTTATCACCATCATGAATTATTACGTTAAATTATAAATTTAAACTAATATATATAATAATAATAATAATAATTATTAAAATTATAGTTTAGTGTTAAATAGAAAATAAATTAAAGGTTGAATATATTTTTAGTATCACAATGTCAATTATTGAAGGAGAATTTTGAATAAAATTTTCTACTTATAATAATCCCAATTTTGGCGAAAAACACAAAAAAAAACTATATTTATAATTATTTCTAGAAATAGAAATATTCGGAGAGGATCAAATTGCGGAGGGATCAGAAGTAATTGAGTAACTAAAATAATAATTATAAAATATATTATATTATTTTATTTTTTTAACTTTTTAAATATTTAAAATTTAATGTAAAAAAAAAAAAAAAAACAGATTAGAAATAGAAGTGATAAAATTTTAAAATATTGGAAAAAATGAGATTATTAAATAAAATATAATAATTAAAATAAAAAAAGAAAAAGAAAAAGGGAACTGTTTAATGCACTATAAATGACCTTCAGGTCAATCCAGAGCTTCCCCGTCACTTCCTTTCTCTGCTATTTCTTCTTCTTCTTCTTCTCGAGAACTGTAACAGACTGCCACTTCCTTTCGCTGGACCTTTTTTCACAAAGATGGGGATCTGTCCTGGCATGGAGATGCTTCAGAAGCTCTTGGAGGCGTTTTTCTCTAGATGTCTGATGAAGTTCGGCTACGGCGATGGTGGTGGCGGCAGCGGAAATGGACGGAGAATCAGAGGTACGGTGGTTCTTATGAAAAAGAGTGTTCTCGACTTCAAGGATGTTAAGGCTTCAGTTGTCGATCGGATTCATGAATTCCTTGGAAAAGGTGTTTCCATTCAACTCATCAGCTCCGATCTTCCCGCCTCAGGTGAGTATCAGAGTTCGTCGTTCTTTTCGTTAGGGATACTCTTAACTCTGTTAGTGTAATTTATTAGGCGCTTGTTAGGTTTTTAGGGTAACTTATCGGCTTAAACTTTTGGGTTGAATGATGATTTACGATAGAGGATAGATTGGGGGTGGAAATGGTGGGGAAGGCAGCGATGTTGGAGCAATGGATCTCGACGGTGAAGCCGTCGTTAACGGCAGACGAGATCGAGTTCACGGTGTTCTTTGAATGGGAGGAAAGGATGGGAGTACCAGGAGCTTTCATCATTAGAAACCATCACTCCAGCCAGTTTTACTTGAAGACAGTCACCTTACATGACGTTCCGGGCTATGGCTCTGTGCATTTCGTTTGTAATTCGTGGGTGTATCCTGCTCATCGATATACTTATGACCGTGTCTTCTTCTCGAACAAGGTAGAATCGTTTAACTAATTGAACTATGTTCATGTTCAGTTTGATGATGGAACTCAGGCAAATGAGTTGAGTTCTTCTTTGATTGGTCATTTGTTAGAGTTATCTTCCGAGTAAAACACCTGAGCCACTACGGAAGTACAGGGAAAATGAACTTATTAACCTCCGTGGAAATGGCGTCGGTGAGCTCAAGGAGTGGGATAGAGTTTACGACTATGCTTGCTACAACGATCTCGGAATGCCAGACATGAGCAAAAGGTTCGTCCGCACTGTTCTTGGAGGTTCGAAGGAGTTTCCCTATCCACGAAGAGGTCGAACCGGTCGAAAACAAGCAAAATCAGGTTGAGAATATGATCTTTCCATCAAATTCTTTCATGTACCTCCTCTTTAATCATCAACCTGGTTATGTTGTTACAGATCCAAGCTGTGAAAGCAGGCTGCAATTGCTGAGTTTAGACATTTACGTGCCGAGAGACGAGCGGTTCTGCCACCTGAAGTTATCAGACTTTCTAGCTTATGCTGTGAAGTCAATTGTTCAGACATTGCTCCCAGAGATCAGATCTTTATGTGACAAAACTATTAATGAGTTTGATTGCTTTCAAGATGTTCTAGATCTTTATGAAGGAGGAATGAGGCTACCAAATGAAATACTAGGCAACCTAAGGGATCTGGTTCCTTGGCAGCTGTTTAGGGAGCTGATGCGTTCCGATGGCCACCAATTCCTAAAGTTTCCAGTGCCTGATGTGATCAAAGGTATCGAATTCTAATCTATCCTCTTACTCAGATCAAACTCTACGACGTCGGAGTTTTCGAAAAACTCGACAAAATCCTAAATGACTGCTTGGATTGCAATTCCAGAGAGCAAAACAGCTTGGAGAACGGATGAAGAGTTCGGACGAGAAATGCTAGCAGGAGTGAACCCGGTCATTATTCGTCGACTCCAAGTACGACATCCATAGCTTCATTTACTGCATTCATTAGGCACCCTTTCATCCATAATTCCCTTTAAAATGTTGTTTTGTAGGAGTTCCCTCCAACCAGCAAATTGGATCCTAAATTATATGGAAAGCAGAACAGTTCCATAACAGAAGAGCACATAGCCAAGCACTTGAATGGGCTCACTGTTGATCAGGTTCTGCACATATTTCATTCATACCTCTAAACAGCAACCATAAAGACTTCTCATTAATATCTTGATCTCATGTTTCTTTATTGTTAGGCTTTGGAAATGAACAAGCTGTTCATTCTGGATCATCATGATTCACTGATGCCATACATCAGTAGAATTAACTCGACATCCACGAAGACATACGCTACTCGAACACTCCTCGTTCTACAGGATAACGGGATCTTGAAGCCAATAGCAATTGAACTAAGTCTACCACACCCACAAGGAGATCATCATGGAGCTGTGAGCAAAGTTTTCACTCCAGCAGAGAACGGCATTGAGGGATCTGTTTGGCAGTTGGCTAAAGCTTATGTCGCAGTCAATGATTCTGGCTATCACCAGCTGATCAGCCATTGGTATGTCCTAAAAACGCTAGTATAATCAATTATATCAATATACACGATTGTTTATCTGTGAGATCCCACATCGGTTGGGGAGGAGAACGAAACATACTTGTAAGGGTGTAGAAACCTCTTACCAGCCGACTCATTTTAAAAATCTTGAGGAGAATCCCAAAAGGAAAAACACAAAAAGGACTATATGTGCTGGTGGTGGGCTTGGGCCGTTATAAATCTCCCTGAAAGGGGTGGACACGAGGAGGTGTGTAAACAAAGACGCTGGCCCCGAGGGAGTGGATTGTGGGGTGACCCCACATTGATTGAAGAAGGGAATGAGTGTCAGCGAGAACGCTGGCCCCAAAGGAGGGTGGATTATGAGATCCCATATCGGTTTAGGACACGAGGAGATGTGTTAACAAAGACGCTGGCCTCGAGGGAGTGGATTGTGAGGTGACCCCACATTGATTGAAGAAGGGAATGAGTGTCAGCGAGAACACTGGCCCCAAAGGAGGGTGGATTGTGAGATCCATATCGGTTTGGGAGGAGAACGAAACATCATTTTTAAGGTTCAGGGCATGGACACAAGGCAGTGTAGGGAATGAGTGTCAGCGAGGACGCTGGCCCCAAAGGAGGGTGGATTGGGGGGTGGTCCCACATCAATTGAAGAAGGAATGAGTGTTAGCGAGTACACTGGGCCCGAAGGAGGGTGGATTGTGTGAGATCCCACATCGGTTTGGGAGGAGAACAAAACATCCTTTTTAAGGTTCAAGGCGTGGACATGAGGCAGTGTGTCAGCAAGCTGGGCGTCAAAGTGGGTGTGGTCCTACAAAGAAGGGAATTAGTGCTAGCAAGGACGCTGGGCCGCGAAAGAGAGTGGATTGTGAGATCCCACATCGGTTTGGGAGGATAACAAAACATCCTTTATAAGGGTGCGGAAACCTATCCATAGCATATGCTTTTTAAAAATCAGGTAAAGTCCAAAAAAAAAAGCCCAAAGACAGAGCATTATCAGCTAGCGATGTACTTGCGCCGTTACATTATCGGAGTCTCAACTCAAATTTACTGTACTTGCAGGCTGAACACGCATGCTGTGATAGAACCATTCATCATAGCCACAAACAGACATTTAAGTGTTATGCATCCAATCTATAAGCTTCTTCATCCACACTTCAGAGACACAATGAACATAAACGCCATGGCAAGGCAGGTTCTCATCAACGCTGGTGGAATTCTCGAAATCACTGTCTTCCCTGGAAAATACGCCTTGGAAATGTCAGCTGTTCTTTACAAGAACTGGGTTTTCACAGACCAGGCACTCCCGGCTGATCTAATCAATAGGTGGGTTGTGTTCATTTCAGTCAAAAACATGAATCCGTGACTATAAAATTAAAATTTCGTTGCCCCATTTTCAGAGGAGTGGCAGTTCCTGATCCAAGTAGCTCCCATGGCCTCAAGCTTCTGATAGAGGATTACCCATATGCCGTGGACGGGCTCGAGATCTGGTCTGCAATTGAGACATGGGTTAGAGAATATTCTTGTTTCTATTACAAATCAGATGAAATGGTTCAACAGGACACCGAAATTCAATCATGGTGGACAGAGCTTCGCAATGTCGGGCATGGCGATTTGAAAGACGAACCATGGTGGCCTAAAATGAACACAAGAGAAGACCTAATCCAATCATGCGCCACCATCATTTGGATAGCTTCAGCCCTCCACGCCGCTGTGAACTTCGGGCAATATCCCTACGCCGGGTACCTCCCGAACCGCCCGACGGTGAGCCGCCGATTCATGCCGGAACCAGGCACACCGGAGTTCAGAGAGCTGGAGACCGACCCGGATTTAGCGTACTTGAAAACGATTACAGCGCAGCTACAAACGATCCTGGGCGTCTCGCTAATTGAGAGCCTATCCCGACATTCGGTGGATGAGATTTATCTTGGGCAGAGAGATACGGCGGACTGGACGACGGATGAAGAACCGATGGCAGCTTTTGAGAGATTTGGGGATCGGTTGAGGGAGATTGAGGAGAAGATTATGAGTATGAACAACGATGAGAGATGGAGGAATCGAGTTGGGCCGGTGAAAATGCCTTACACGTTACTGTTTCCCAATACCTCGAATTTCTACGAAGAAGAAGGGCTCAACGCTAGAGGGATCCCAAACAGCATTTCGATCTGAAAAACTTTCATAGATTTCCATCTCCAAATCGTGTTTTTTTTTCCAGAGATTCTGTGTGGTGAGTTTGTGCTAGAATTTATAATAAATCTCTCAGCCTTTGTGGGAGAATGAAATTTTTTCGTTCCAAGATAATGTAGAAGATGTATATCAATGTTTGTCGACCTTCGTTCAATCAAATTAACGTGTCATGTTTGTTTTTTTTGGGTCTAATTTTGCATTTAACGGTCCCATAATCATCATATTACTAACTCTTCAAGAAGAATTAAAGTGCAACAATTAAGAGCTCAAGCTTAAGCTAGTCTAGCTAGTAATGTGTTTCTAGACGTGTCTGTATTTTAAAACCTGTCTACTAAGGGGAGAGGTTTTCACACCCTATAAAGTATACTTTATTCCCTCATGGATCTCACAATTCACTCTTTGGGTGTGTGACTCTAATACCATTGATAATAGTCCAAGCCCACTGCTACTAGATTTTAGCTCTTTACGTATTGTCGTCAACCTAACAATTTTAAAATGTATCTACTAATGAGAAATTTCCACACCTTTAAGAAATGTTTCGTTTCCCTCTCCAACCGATGTGGGACCTCATAGAAAGTTATCTTCATAGACCAACACACGTACTTCCAGTATGCTTCTAAGAGTGAATGCTATTCCCACGGTCCAACATGAGTCATTTCAGTATGTTTTTAAGAATGAAGGTTATACCTACCGAAAAGTAAGGTGCATCTTATATGGTATGAATATTGACTTTCAATTCTTTTAAACTTTTCTCAGTCATCCTATTTTTAATATTACTCTCATTCGGATGTACTCTCGATTCATTCATGTACTAATATTTTATTAATTCGATCTAGTTCGACTTTATTTAAAATAAAACAAAAAAAAAAATTGATGTGAAGACTAAAACATGACAAAAATTGACACGAGGACTAAATATTGAATAATTGATTTTTGCGACAGTAATCGATATTTTATCTATTGAGTTATAATTCAATCACGACAATGTAAAAGATCACTCTTATCGTAACATCATTAAACGTTGAAAATATACTCATATATTTCATTATACATTACACTGTTACATGGGGAATGATTTTCTACATCAATTATAAGATATATAATTGATTAGACCGAGCATTTACGTACACAACCAGACCACATCCAAGACTATTATTATGTAACATCGTCTAGTAACTTAAGCACCGATAGCTGTTTTCATGAGAATAGAATCGACGTCGTTTCGATTCTGATGGATCATTCCATCGCCATTATCTAATTTTGCATTTACCCATATCTCTGGAATTTCTAGTGACAAATTATGTACCGTTTCCACTACATAATCCGGCTCTATATTCTTCACGAGCTTCCCCACCTTCATCCAATCACACCATATAAATAACTTTCTAAAAAATAATTTAATCATTTTCAATTTAAACGTTCATTTTTTATAAATTTGCTTTATATTATTCATGCAATTAAAAAAAAAAAAAAACATTTTCACTTTGTAATTTATATTTGATTTTAAATTATCATTTGAGTGATATTGATGATCTATACTATTTTTATCTTAATTATTTATTTTTAATATTTAAATTTTTAAAAACAAAAAATATATATTATATAATTATAATTATTTTTTAGAAAAATAGGAATTTAAAAAAAAATTAGAAAAAATTTAAAAGATAAAAAAAAAAAATTATCAAAACAGAACTTTAACACGTTGAAAAACGTGGCGAAGTAAAGTTCTCACGAGAACGGTGCGGAGGCCGGCGGCTTTTCCGGCGGCGATATTGTGGGCGTTATCGTCAAGAAACAGCTGCGCACAAGAACCAAATTAAACCTACAAACGAACAAATCAATCAATTCAGTGACGGCGTACCGTACGACGGGGGTCAACGTCGGCGACGTCGATAGCAATTCTCATGGCGTCCATCGACGGCTTGAGAAGAACCGGAAACTCGTTGGCTCGGGTCTGTGAATGTTTGATTAATCCACCACACCTAAATGGTATGAAAGTTATCTTATTTATAATCAAATGAATTACAAGGATATGGAAATAGTAATAAATGAAAATAACAATAAATGGAAAGATACCTATGATAATAAGGCAAATATTAGATATTTGCCTTATAATAAAATATCAAATATAATATATATGGTAAACTATAATTTATTACTAAATATCCTTAACAGGGTCGCCTTCGGCAGGTTCGGGTTCATCGTCTCGAAACATATGATCTTCTCGAAACAATTCTGTAAGCCAAGCCGACCGAGCACCTCTGTCGCGTGGTTCATGTCGGAGTTCGTGAAAATCTGTTGTAATTCCAAATCCCAACAAAATTAGAACAATTTAAACACGATTAGAACAATTTAAACAGGATTAACATTTAAAATATACGATTTTTCGTTGTGGAATTGACAGCAAGAGATGCCGGAGCTGGATGTCCTGTTTCAGCCGGTCGTATGGTAATCTTCCATGGACGAAGCTGAAACAAACAACGTTAATATTGTTGTTGGAGAATCGTTGTTTTGTTCTAAGGTTTTGTTTTGCTTACCCATGGTAATCATCTTCGTGGATGTCATAACCCAATGCCTGATCATAATTAAGTACAAAAGATTAGTTTAATGGTGACTGTAATGAAGTTTCAGAGTTGTTAATGGAGAATTTACTCGCAAACCAGCCAGAGTGCTGCCGTAGGTTTTGAAAAGCTCAGTACGAAGAATTGAAGCTTGGGTTACTGGGAATCCACATTTTTCGACAAGAAAATCTGTCAAAATTCGTCAAAATTAAGGTAAATTTAGTGTTGAGAAAACCCAACAAACAAGAACATTGAAAAACAGAACAGAGTGTTGGAGAAACCTTCGATGTTTTTCTTGCAAGCAGCTGAAATTCCAGTGTTGAATGGGTACAGAGTGTCATCCAAGTCTGTTAAGAAAGAAACAGAGTAAGAATCTGAAAGGTTAAATCTTTTGGAAATGAAGAAGATGATGAAGAAGAAGGTACCGAAAATGAGGCAGTCGAAGGAAGCATCCATGGCGGAAAATGGAGGAGAAATTGAAGGCTAAAACAGAGAGAAACAGAGTCTGAGTAGAGGGAGCGAAGAAGGGGAGGGACTAAGAGTAGCATATATAGGGAAAATGGATTACATGCTTAAATGAAATGATTTAGATAATCCCTTCTTTTTTTGTGATAATCCCTTCTTTCTTAACGAGTTTGGATTTCGATCAACTTATCCCTTTACTAGAACTTGAATAAGCACGTGTAAATCTCTTCTATACCTTCATGAAAATCTCAAAAAAGAGGTCGAGATCGACGCCCACTTCTCATACCCCATACCCAAGATTTTGGATCAAGATTTAGAATCCATATCCGACACCTAATTGCCCCCGACATTCCCTTACGACATGGTTATGTTACCTCCTCCTTGCTTTTTAAGAGTGAAAATTATTCCCCACAAACCAACTCGAATCCTTCCAACATGTTTTGTCCTCACTCACATGCATCTCAAGAACATTTTTAAGTATCTAATCAGCAAAAAAATGGTTCCGAGTAAGTCATCCTTAACCATGAAATTCACACACCAACATAAGATTGAAGAGGGAAAGGAATCAAATAACTACAAATTTATGAACTTTTATTTTGGTCCATTAATTTTTTATAACAACCCAATCATCCAATTTTGAACTTTTAAAAATTTAATCTCTACAATAAAATCATCTCATAAAAAATAAATATTTAATTTTTTATTTAATAATTTAATATTATTTTTGTATTTAATAATTTAAACTTTGTAGTTTATCATAATTGAGTTGTTACACTGAACGGTTTCAAAACTATTTAATTTTTTATCTTTGATTTTGAATAATTAAATTAAAAAATTAAATCTATAAATATTATTTTTATTTGTAATTTTTTTTAAATTTTGTTATTTATTATTTTTTTCATATGTTATTAAGAAATCAAATAACTTAAAAAAAAAAAAGTTTCATAAATTTATTTTTATTTTTTTTAATTTAGTTAATCATTCAGATGTTAATGATAAAAATATAATTATCAAACATTATATAAATTAGGAAAAATTAATTTTATTCGATAATTTCTGTATTACGAGAGGAATTAGGGATGTGCCATCCCCACGCAGATTGAATAGGGTTAAGACGACACGAAACTTCGTCGTTTTTACCCTCGTGTCCAGCACGTGTTTGGATTTAATTTCATTTTTGTCATAATTATTGTATTGAGAGGAAAAAACAAAAACGAGACTAAAATGGTAATTTTACCTTAAATAAATCTAGGATAAACTGCTTTGTCCTTCTTTATCCATACTTTTTTCGTTATGTTCGTAATTTTGTCGTTATATTAATAAAAATACACAAAAGTTTCGATAATCCTTTTAAATTTAAAAAATATCATTTATACCCTTTAATTTTTTTTCTATTTTTTAAGTTCAAAATTAAACTATATTTAAAAAAATACCCAATTAATATCTTTTATAAAAAATAAACGTAAACTATCTATTAATATCTTATAAATCAATGTTTTTTTTTTTTTAAATGTAGTAATGTTTTTTTTTTTAAATTTAAATTTGTTTGTGAAGTTATAGAAAAAATTTAAGATATTTTTTTGGGGTTAAATGTATTTTTTAAATAAAATATTAACAGCCATATTTTTAATTTTTTTTAAATATATTTTTGAGACAAAAAGGAAAGAAAGATATTTTTATTAATTTAACCTCTAAAGCTAATTTCATTCTTAATTTTTTACTATTTTCTAAAATATTAAAATTTTTAACTAAATTTCAAAAAACAAAAATAAATAAACTAATAATTAGAAGTAGTGTTTGTGTCTAGCTAGTAGGTTCGTGAATTTTCAAAACACATTAAATAAGTCTAGAGATGTTCATTTAATCCATAGAGATGAGAAATCTCGGTTCAAACTCAGAATTTAGATCTCCATAAAATTCTCTACACGAATTCCTATCTCGATCTTTACAAAAATAAATGAACTTAGTTTTTCGCAAAGATGAAGATTGATATAGGAGTCGAGATTTTCTCTTCCTACCCTGCCACGGACATCTTTAAATAGGTCGATAATTTATTAGATGCAAAATTAAAAATCATAAAATATATATTACTATATAATATTCTAAAGTTAAATGAATCAAAACAAAATCTATATTTTATTATATATTGGCATAAAAATACATCTCAATCTACTTTGGAAAGAAAGTAGGGCTTGGAAAAACCAATGTTCGACATGATTTGATTATGATACTGTGGGTAGTTCAATGTCCAAAAATAATTAACGGTTTAAAATATTATATTCTCAAATATAAAAGATATTATATTTAGTTATATAATATTATTCAATTTTTTTAGGATAATTAAAAATAGATATAAATAAATAATATTCAATTAACGACTAAAAGTAGAAAAGTTAAAACCTCTCTACATAATAACATTTTCTTTTATATAATTGTTTATATTAATATTTATAACTAAAAAAATTATAAAATTTGTACGGATATTTGAAATTTTTAATATTAGTTTTAATTAAAATATAAAAACATATTACTTGGGTTTAATATTATTATAAAATTAATATTATATATTATGATTTGGGAAAGTTTTATATTTAAATTTTATGAAATTTTAGTTATTAATATATTCGATAAACTAAATTTAAAAGAATTTAAGAACCAAGTATAAAATTGGAGGGCAGACATTGGATAACAAGCACAAAAAAATTGGGTAGATGTTCACTTTAAAAGCCCAAGAGTCGGTTCATCATGTCCTAGTGGAAATATATTATTAAGTTGGGTTGGGTCGAATTGGTCCATAGGTTGATGAGGTAAAGCGGTTGCTAAGTGTCATAACCATACTATAAAGACAGACAAGGTGGTGACCCTCAAGTGGCGCCCATCCAACCAAGTGAGGGTCGAGATAGATAAATGTTATGATACGATCGAAGAGAACGATGCCTCATTTCACACATGAAGAAGAAGGTGTATTAAAGCTAAAACTAGAAAATAAGCAAGATTGGTGGGAACGATGGTGACAAAAGTGTCGAAGACAAGCTTGAGAAGGGGTCGAGTAAGGCCTAGACCATAACTGCAAAAGTCAGTGTTATGACATGAGTTTCGACATATGACTCTAGAGTTAAGTCCATCGATATGAAAGATGAAAGATCGCTAAATTTGGTGTCAATTAAATACGTGAAAGACACTCCACCGCCCCTTGGACATTTTTGGCCTAAGTGATCTACCACATTACACATATTATATAGTGAGTCGGTGGGTGTTGCGATACGAGAGTATTCCTTTGAAAATATATTTTTTTTTTGAAGAGAATGTCGTCGTACCGACATTGCGCCCAAACTCATGGGTCAGAGTTTGGTATATGGGGTCGCTCACAGATAGATAAAAATGACTCGACATGGACATGAGATAGTTCATGCTTTGATTATACCCATATGAATGGATATTCAAAGTACCTTGACAATAAAGACAATTCATGGGTCGATTCTCGATAAGCGTACTTGACGAAGCCACAAGGGTCGATGATCTCCAAGGACTTGGGATGACATCACGATGCATGGCCGTGTTATTGGGAATCACGATGACCAAATGAGATGTAACATTACATTCAAGAACCTTGACCTAGAGTAAAGGAAAGGTCGAACCAAATGACTTGGGTTAGAGTAGAGGCAAGTCAGTTTGACTCACAACAAACACACATGTGCGCACAAGTTGCACGTACAGCCGAACAAACTTAGTTTCTACATGAGTTATGTTTAGTCGGCAAAGGAAAACCTCGTCTAAAGTATGACGAAACTGAAAACCTGGACACAAAAAAAGGCTTGAATTTCCCTTAAAATTGTCGTGAACATGTCAAAATCATGATATCGTATAGTTATTATAGCAGCGTAGTAGCAAAAGTCTTATCATTTTTATGAAACAAATGTAATTCAATTCAAAATTATCTCAAATTTATCGAAATAACATAATTTCAACCGACCTCGAGGCTCACTTTTCACTACGTTGGCATTAATGAGCCTAACAAGCATGACGTCCTCGTGTAGCTTGCAAATCCTCGATCCCCGACAGTGCCACGAGAAGCCTTTGTTGTGGCACGCGCCAACAAGCAGACTCATGAGTTCTTGGTGAGTATAGCGGATGGTCGTGGCACGATTGTGTCACAGAGTGTGTACCAAGGCTCCGGTTTCCCAACGTTAACCTTTGAGGAACAAACGGAAGCTATTGATTTGGCTCTCAAATACCCACCACTTCTATCCTCCATCGAGAAGAGAGGGCTGAATGTTTCGCATGTTGTGGGCTCGGTTCTTACTATTGGGTGGTTTGGGCAGGCCCACAATGAGACGCAACGAGGGGTCAAGGTTCTGTTTTTTTTTTACAAGGAGTCTACGGTCAACGTTTGGGTAAGGCCCGTTGAGGCCAGCCGCTTAACGTCGTCCAGCCGATTAACGTCGTCCAGCTGCTTGGTCCGAGCTTTGTTGTTAAAGCCCACACTGTCAGGTTTGTTTTCGCATCTACTAAGGAGAGGTTTCCTCCTTGTAAATCGTGTTTCGTCCTCCTCTTTAGTTAATGTGGGACTCCCTAATCTACCCCTTTTAGGGCCCAATGTTCTTGTTGGCACACCACCTCGTGTCCACTCTTTTGGGTTTTAACTGTTGGAGGATGAAAGTACCACATCGGCTAATTTAGGGAATGATCATGAATTTATAATCAAAGAACACTCTCTTCATTGGTATAAGGTCTTTTGTGAAAGTCCAAAGCAAAACCATGAGAGCTTACGCTCAAAGTGGACAATATCATACCATGGAGAGTCGTGTTCGTTTAACTTGGTATCAGAGTCATGTCTTAAATTTAACCATGTCAATAGATTGACAAATCCTCAAATGACGAACAAAGTATTGTGAGCCTCGAAGGCATAGTCAAAAAGTGACTAGAGAAGACTCCAAAGGAGTTAGCCTCATTAAAGGCCACACTCTCAGGTTTGTTTTCCCTTAATTGTTTTTATGACGCATCTTCTAGATCCCTTCTTCAATCGATGTGGGACCTCCAATCTATCCCTTTCGGGGCCCAATAC